ACAACATTTTTCATAAACTAACAATAATCTATTTAATTTTGTATTTCATATATTGGGAGCGCACACTACTTTATTTTTATTTTAACAAGCCCCGTATGTAAACTGAAATGATTCAAATTGAATAGTACTCACACACATAAGTGTAAACTGTTACGGGCGCAGCATGCATATATCAAAGGCAAGTCAGTCGACACTGCTTTGCATGATGTAGTGTCATGGCTGGAGATAGCTCTCAAGCACAAGGAATTTGCTGTGGGCACCTTCCTCGACATCGAGGGGGCCTTCAACAATGTGCGACCAGAGGCAGTGGTTAAAGCCCTCGAAAAGTTTGAGGTGGAATCTAACCTTAAGCACCTTATTTTTAGTCTTCTTTGCGACAGAACTGTCGCAGCGGATTGGGGTGGTGCCAAGGCCACCAGAAAAGTGAATAGGGGAACTCCGCAGGGGGGAGTACTCTCCCCACTGCTCTGGATAATGGTGGTTAACGACCTACTTATAGAACTCGAGACGCAAGGCTGTCGGGTGACAGCATACGCTGACGATGTGGTTCTTATGGTTAAGGGAAAGTTCCTGAATACCGTTTACGAGCTCACCGAAGGGTACCTGAACGTGGTATCTAGGTGGGCGAATAGAAGCGGCCTAGCCGTCAACGCAAGTAAAACCGAATTGGTTTTATTTACCAGGAGGTATAAGATACCAAATGTGCCTCTCCCTTCTTTCGGGGGTTCACTTCTTCAGCCTGCTGAGAAAGTGAAATACCTAGGGCTCATCCTCGATAGCAAACTTTCCTGGAGGCCAAATATAGAGGAGAGAGTTAAGAAGGCTTCGGTCGCCTTATACTGCTGCAAAGGTGCTATTGGGAAAAGGTGGGGACTCTCACCTAAGGTGGTGTTCTGGCTCTACGAAACCGTAGTTAAGCCAATAATGTTATATGGTGTGTTCGTCTGGTGGAGGGCGCTCGAGAGGACCACACTGGCTAAAAAGCTTGAAAGGGTCCAAAGAGCGGCGCTCATCGGAATCTCCGGTGCACTGCGGACCACACCGACACTAGCTCTTAATGCTATTTTAAACATAGCACCTGTGGACATTGCCGGTAGGTGCATTGCCGCGAAGTGTGGTCTAAGGCTCAGGGAAGCTGGGCTTTTGAAGAGGTCCGAACAAGGGCACTCCGAAATTCTTTCCTCCTTCAGCGGCATCCCGGAAAATATAGATCACTGCGTCACTGTAGCCACTCGAGGCGGTTCCTTCTCCGCTCATATCCCAACGAGGGACATGTGGGTGGGAAGAAGCCGTTGGAGAAGAGGCGCGGTGAGCTTTTTCACGGATGGATCGAGGCTAGGAGGGAAGGTTGGAGGGGAGGTTTTCTGTAAGGAGCTCTCCGTCAGTCTTAGCTTCAGGCTACCGGATCACTGTAGTGTTTTTCTGGCGGAAGTGGCTGCTATAAGGGCGGCGGTAGAAGTACTGCTGCGTAGTGCAGCCTCGTTTGTAGAAGTGAGCATTCACTCTGATAGTAGGGCAGCAATACTAGCTTTGAGCGCGCGTACCGTGCAATCAAAGCTAGTCAAGGAGTGTCTGTCCTCTTTAGAGGTAGCGTCTGGCTATTTCAACATCAGGCTCGTTTGGGTGCCTGGTCACAGCGGAATCGCTGGAAACTGCAAAGCCGATGAGCTAGCCAGGGGGGGCACCTTTGCCCCGCTCACATCGGAATGGGATCGGGTTGGATCTCCGTTAGCGTCCTGCGCTCTAACTTTGGATCAATGGACCTCGCGTGCACTCAGCAGACGTTGGTCGACGACTAGGTCCTGTGCGACCGCGAGATCCTTTTGGCCAAGAGTGGATCGCAGGAGGTCGGGGGAACTTCTCGCCCTGAGCAAAGTGCATCTAGCTGCTATTGTAGGAGTTCTCACTGGACACTGTCCAATGGGCACTCATGCGGTACGGCTTGGTGTACTACCCGATGCCAGTTGCCAAAGTTGTATGGAGGAGGGCGAGGTGGAATCATCCCAGCACTTTCTCCTCCAATGTCCGGCATTCGCTAGGCTGCGATTGAAATATCTCGGCAATCACACGTTTGGCGGTCCTGAATACCTATCCGTAATGGATATTGGCCGTCTTAACAAGTTTGTAGTCAGCACAAGACGTCTTGTCGACTTGTAAGGGTCTTTTGATCCGGACTATAGGAGTCGTAGGTATCACAACGGTCTGGCGTCTTAAGCTGTCCAAGTGGGATCCCTTCTGGGATCGACCTCCTAACCTAACCTAACCTAACCACACAAAAGAAATAAAAATGCCCCTGTTACCAAATGTATAACAAAATTTATTAACGATATTATAAACTTTACTAGCTTTTACCCGCGGCTTCGCTCGCATCGAATCCATCAAATAAATAACTGATATCATTATAGTAGATATGGATCCATATAAAGAATATATTTTATTGCTTGGCTGGGATTACTAAATGCAATGAATTTTCAAATTTTAAAATATACTTTATTGAATCAATACAACAAAGATATATTTCATTATAACGAAATTACATAATTTAGAAATGGAACAATTTAAAATAAGCAATATAGATGATTAATCCAGTATATTTTTATAAACTATATTATACGTTTTTCCGTTTGGTGCAAATATGTGTAAATTCCGGGCATTAGATATACGCGAACAGGCTACATATAGTTGACCATGTGAAAAGCATGACTTTTCTAAATGCACTCCTGCCACTTTTAATGTTTGCCCTTGTGCTTTGTTTATAGTTACGGCAAGGCTAAGCTTGACAGGAAACTGAACTCTTTCAAATTTGAATAGAAGGTCAGTGGGAATAATTGGAATCCGAGGTATGATCACACTTTTTCCTTTACCAACACCTGTTAATATAGTAGCGCCAAGTATGTTCTGTCCCAATTTCGTTATCCGAAGTCGTGTTCCATTACATAGCAGAGGAGCATTTAAATTTCGCATAAGCATTACTGGTACATTTAGTTTCAATTTAAGCTTATGTGATGGTACACCCGACAGTTCAAATGAATTTAAAAACTCAACAGGATATGATGTGCTTAATTCTGTATCCATAATTGTATCCATTGACAAATATTCCACCATTTCCCCTTTCACCTCTTTCAATATGTCCTTATTTATCATACATCATTTTTTGTTGCTAATATTGCTCTTGCGCACAGCCACTGGGTACTACTCAAATTTTGTTGCAATTCTGGAAAAACATTGGCAATGAGATCCACATCATTTTCTTCTAAATTACAAAATTCTCTTGTAAGTGATATATAACCTTCAGCATCAACATCTAAACAACCATTTCCAATTTTTAACAACATTTCAGCATAAAGTCCCGAATCCACGTCATTATGAAGATACACTCTCATATTCGTTTTGAGACTGAGTTTTTCAACTCTCGACCATAAGCTTGATGATTTTAAGCATGCTTGAATTTCATCTGCTGGTGTTCCCCTCTATATAACCGGAAGAGTTTGTCGAAAATCACCAGCCAGTAAAACTACCATTCCTCCCATTATATCCGTACTATCTCGCAGGTCCTAAAGAGTTCTGTTTAAAGCTTCTATAGCCTTTTTGTGAGACATTGTACATTCATCCCACACTAAAAGCTTACATTCTCGCAGCATCCTACCTCGAGAACTATTTTTACTGAAATTACAGTTGGGTGAATCTTCCTGTGCAAGATTTAATGGTAATTTCAAAACGGAATGTGCCGTACGGCCGCCGTTTAAAAGCGTTGCTGCAATACCCGAAGAAGCTACTGCAACTGCTATTTGTCTGTTTTTTCTGATGTACATTAATAATAAGTTGAGCAAAAACGTTTTTCCTGTTCATCCTGGTGCATCGAGAAAGAAGACTCCACCTTTGCCGGATTCTATTCTATATAAAAGTTGACGGGAACCAAAACGGCAACTTCATTGACCATTGGTGCATTATAACGCCTCTCATGTTCACCACGTGGAGTTCGATCAGCATGAATGACAACTTTGTAATTATCTGAAGGCCAGTTGTCTATCGCACTTTTAAAAATCTTCACCAAATCATTCTGACTGTGTAACATTCGTTGAATTTTTAATAATGTTTCTCTTTCTACTCCATCTATATACTGGCAACGATGATTTACTTCATTTTGCTCATCACCCATAAAATACACCTTCAAAAATTTATGCTGATCATTATTTCCTGGAAATAGTGATCCAATTTGATGATATATTTGCTCTTGTACAGTAAAGGTTGGTGAAAATCCTGGCATTCTTATCACTTTATCAACTCCGAAGGATGTCATTTTAAAGCAAGAATTATACTTCCTTATTTTACTTAGAAATCGTTTTGACTCATCTGTGACACTAAACAATAAAGTTTTTAAAGGTGCTTCTGGTTCACCAAGTAATGGAAGTGAAACTTTACCAGTGCTGCAGCACATTCCAGCATTTTCATCTTTCCATTTAAAAGCATCACAATACTGACATTTTTTATCCATTGAGCCAAAATCAATTAAGGGATGATTAGAATACTCAACTAAAGGATCATATTGAAAACCAGTACCAATAAATACAGACCAATTCTTAGTTATTAAATTACGACGACGCGTGGTTCTTACTTCTGCATCATTAATTCTTTTTGCCTGCAATTGTTCTTGCGTTTCCGTTGCTCTTCTAGCTTCCTGCTGCTTAGCTTGTCTTTTCGAACGTACTCGTGCCTGATGAGAAGTTTCAGCTGCTCTCAAAACATGTTGTCGATCTGCTTGCTGTTGCCTTCTCAGCTCTGCTTGAACTTCACATTCTTTATTTCGTGTAACTTTAGCCTTACGCACCGGCGTAGAATTTCTTGACAGCGCCGATTTCCGCTTTCGAGGCATTTTTATATTTAATAAGAGTAACTAATAATATTTGTGTTATTTCTCTGATTTACGTTTTTTATACATTTATGTTTTTTTCATTTTTAATTTTTTCGACAAAAAATCATTTCTGCCAAACTTTTTTTTTTCAATTTCAAAATTATTTTCCAAACATATATAATCTTCCAAAATAATTTTTTTAATAATTCGTAACAAATTTATAAATTTTGTAATAAAAAGTATCCTAAGTTCATTCTGACACCTCTAAGAGTATATGTACAAAATTTCATGATGATCTGTTAAGTAGTTTTTGCGTGAAAGCTTAACAAACAAACGGACTTTCGCATTTATAATATTAGTATAGAAGTATAGATAAAACTTTTTAAAACTAAGCTATCGAGTACACCTGAGTATTCTCAAAGGTTAATGCAACAAGCCCAAAATACACACTGTATCGTGATTTTCGGTTTTCCCCCTGACCTCAAATTATTTAGGTTGGTCAAAATGTGTGATATTTTAACGAAATTAAGTGAACAAGTATTATTAAAAATTATAAAATTATATTAAAGGTTTAGCGTTGAATATTAATGGAGTTGATTCAGACTTTGGTATCAACCTCATATCCCTAATATAATAAATTACGGTCCTCTGGTTGATCTTTTCCACATCAACTCAATATATTAAATTTAGCGTCTCGGTTGAGTTTACATTAAATATATCACATTTGAAGATGATTTTAATATAATTTTAGCTAACGCGCAGTAAAATATAACATGAAAACTAAGTTCTATGACCTATAATGTAACATAATAAAATACCAAATTTTAAATTTAAGCATTTCTCTTGATGAGTTCTGGCGAAGATCAATTGTTTTGAAAACTTTTTTTTTTTTAGAAAGGAGTGGTTTCTAGCAAGTCTACAGGATATTTTTAAGCCCAATTATTTATACAGCAGCATCCGCATGCCGTTTTATGTTGTCTAGACTTCCGAATCCTGCCTTTGACCAATACATGGGGATTCTCCACACATAATTTGATGACGTTGTTTACTTTGTTACAAGAATTTCGCATTAGTTTAGCAATTTCGGCCACTTTTTTCAGTTTTTCATATATTTTCCAAATTAGTCTCCTTCTATTGTGGTATGTTTACCAGATCCCATTTCATGTGATTTGTTACGTTAAAATACCTTTAATTACTTATTTTTTAATAACACAATGAATGTTATTATATTAAAATATACGCGAGGAATCTGTGCCATTTATGTGTCCACTTAAAATCAGCATTGAGTACGCATCATTGATAACGGTAAAGAAAAAACAAAACATAACGGAATATTTGAGCAGTACAGTACAACTCTGGTACAGCAGCACAAAATTGAATGCAAAATTTTTACATATTAATCAAATTCCAAATTTAGCAATTATATGAAATTAGACTTGGTGCCATTTAAGTCTCCATAGCTGTGTATTGCATATGCACGTATATAATACATACATATATACTATTATATACCATCAGATGTGTCAACAAAATTAAGCAAAAATATTTCGGATAGTATTATATTGGTGATCTATTTAGAAATCAGTGTTTCAGTTGATGAAACTTGGAGCACGGGTTCTTTGACAGTATGAGAATTGCGAGAGTACAATTACTTGGAAAATTTAAAAAGAATTAGGCGGAGATCGGTGATAACTCAAAAAAAATATATAGGGTATTCACAAGTTGCCAGATTGTGTCATATCGTCGTATTGTCTTATTTTCTTATGACTGTCATATCAACACTGTTGTTGTTTCCCATACAAAATTGAAATACGACAAATACAACACGGTGAGGTATGTTTTTTGAGTGTGCTATTCTATCAGCGTATCTGTTTACTTTATTTTATTGTTGATGTTTAGGTGTCTAAAATGAATAAAATAAATAAATTTCATCAATTTTTTTAATAATATGGAAGGAATCCACGATATTCAGGTAAATTAAGTTGAAGAAAGTGAAATATAAAAATATTTTGTTGTTTCTGTGGTTGCAGTGTGAACCAAAATGCTGCCGTTTCAACATTAAAAAGCTTTAATTTTATTTTTGTCACTTTCCCGTGGCATTTTTGTATTCTTAATTTTTCACTACCAGCTGGTGAAGTGTAGAAATATTACATTTTATGACATACAACAATTAAGGGGTGCTTACAAGGGTCGTATTTTTTAAGCTATTGAAATACAACCAAGAGATAAGACGAAGCTTGTAAATTACCTAATAGTATTTAGAAAATTAATAGGCACAGTCATACAATATCCCCAAATTACTCCCTTTTAAGATTGCAACAGCATCGAATTAAATTGGCAACTAATTATTTATTACGACTTAAAAATAGTAAGTTAGGCTAAATATTAAATTTTAAAACTTATCATTAAACAAGAACAACTTATCATTAAACAAGAACAAGTAATATTACATTTTAAAACATATCATTAAACAAGAGCAAGATAATAAAGTTTAAGTTTTTTGTTATTATTTATGACTACCGCTAATACCTGTGACAGATATATGGTAACAGTACTATACTACGAACGAATACCAGATATGTATCACCAAATACCAGAACTTTACCATGAAAGCAATGTAGTATTTTCCTGGTAACAATTTCATTGTAGTATTTTAAGAAACACAGCTAAAAAAGTTAAGGAACTTAGATAAAATTTTTTAAACAAAAGCTCTTCAAAATATTCTGTCAAAATGCCTTAAAAAATTAGTTAATAAAACGGAAAACAAAATATTTTTCACACTTTTTTTTTGAAATACATGGACTGCCTTATTTATGGCGACTTTTTAGGCACACTTTAACCAATTCTGTTTCTTGTGAAGAAAATACACCCGTTTGAATTATTTGAAATAATATTACTCACTTTATCCATTACGCATATGTACATCTTTATTGTTGACTTTTTTTTGACATATGTGTCTATTTTTTATGATACAAATATTGGTATTTGGGTTTACTACATTTCGATATGGGACATCTACGGTAGTACACAAAATACCATAATATTTGTATTATGGTATTGTTACCACATGTGTGTCACATTCATAAGCATCCGTTCATTCTCTTTGTTTTTTCCCATGTGTTCATTATGACATTCTTTTATTTTCAGAGAAGTTCACACCAGAATACTTTATGGTATTATTTAGGGAATTAAAAAGGGTAGTACTACTTTCTGATTTTGATGTCATTTATAACGTAAGTGTTCATTATATTTCATTGATAATTTATATGATTCATATTTTATCTAGTTTTGCAAGCATTCTCGAACTCCATCTACGGAAAATGTTTTCAACATTTTGCTCAAAAACTTCTTTACCCCTAACATCTTTTTAAAAAGGACATGTTATCATATTTTGCAAGAATTAACTCATGCCTACGTTGTTGACGACATTAAGAAGGTTCCCACATTAAGTGACGACTTGAGTCATGGAGGAAAAACTCAGCATTATTTAAAGTTATTTGAAGGGGTTTTAATATCTCAACTTATTTTTGTTAATAAGTATATATCAGATTTCAGGTAATTATATAATGTTGTAATATTTATTTTGAATTAATTATTTTTTGATTTTTTATATAGTTTCAAAATATCTGAAATAGATGCATTCGAACCTATTGACGTTGAAATGGGATTTAGCTATTTCTTGATGTGGGACTGCATAATACACACCTGTGTCAAATCTCCACTCAATATACGGAATATTTATACTTCCTGGCTTTATGAGAATAAATTTTTCGAGGTAAATTGTTAAGTTTCATACCTTATTTTATAAACTAGAGTTGTAAATATGAACATATGAAGCATTTACGTATTTCTTATACCATTGTGTAGTCCAGGGGGGCTTACGGCATAGCTCTTTGGGCTCCGTTTGGCTTATCATCTTTTTTGATCACAGTACGAAAGTTTTCTTGCGCTGGCGTCGTTTGGTTCGAAACTAACGGGATAATGGTCTTTCATTCAGTGCTGGCTGACATTGGCTGGCATTCACTTAGCTATAGCATGAGACGACTTTTATTTGTCATTCTGAGAACAATATTGTAATTTGTATAGATGTTATTGTGTGACTCCGAAGTTAAAGTTTTTGGCCACCCCATATTCATGCTCATCTTCTAGATATATTTTGACGTAAAAAATAGTATATGCATAAACATTCCTCGCTGGGTCCAACATTGCTTATTATTATTATATTTTACCCTTGAAAATGTCAGCAAAATGCCGATGCAGAGTGTCGAAAAGAAACTTTTAGAATTATTTGGCTACTAACAAAAAGCTATTTAAATAATTATTATATTATATTTAAAAGCTTATTATTTTGTTGAAATTTTTCTATTTAATAAATTTTTATAAAAACATTTTCATCTAAAAAATATATATCAAATTAGGAATTAAGATCGAAGGTAAATATCAAAGTTTCTGATATTAGTGTTTAATTTTCTTATATATATACAAAAATAAGTTTTCACCATCGAATTGGTAAACTAAGAAAAACTGAATTATACTCAAATTATATAAATACAAAACTTGTAACGATATTAATATTTAAAAAACTGGGATAAGATATTTATTTAATATAATATACTCATAAAATGAATTATTTAAAAAAATGTCATACTCTATTGAAACGTCATACTCTATTTGGTGAAAGTAGTTCTATCCCATATTACTTCTATATATTTTTCTAATACTTGGCGTAGAATAATGAACAATACATTTTTACAATAATGTTCCATTCTAGAACTTCCGAGACTTATTAGGAGTTAGTTGTAGTCAGTCTATGCGAATGTAAGGTTCTATACAGGAAAAGGATCGCAACTATCGGTCGAGGGTTTTTGCACGACATTTCGGAAGTTGCTCAGATAAAACTATTTGTACAGAAGTACGGGTTGGTTCAGAGAGGAGACAATAGAGTGAGGGAACATTAGTCCCGGTGGAATCACAATGGGTCTAGGTGCGCCGTCAGACAGCCACTCTACGTATTTACCACCCTAGTTGTAGTCAAAGACATGAAAAAATTACAAATTTAAAGAATTTTTTTGCATGTACATAAATTATTTTATTTTTAAAAGTAAAATCATAGCCGCGACCATCACTAATTTTTCGAAACTCATCTAAAATCAATCGGACAAAAAAAAAAGTTTTATTAATAAATAATCTAAGACTTTTTTGTTTATTAAGTTAACAAAAATTAAAAAAAAATTCGAGCAAGCACCAAGAGTTAATTGTTGATAATAAATCGAATTTAATCGATCAGGCACTAGTAAGTGTTTATGCTTTCAAAAAGCTGTATAAATTTCATTGAAAATACCGAGCAGTTCTCGAGCTATAATGGTCTCCAGTTCAAAAAATATAGTTTTGAGAAAAACGAACCTAAAGTTTAGGAGACAATCACACTAAGTTAATAAATTCTTAGAAATACGAATCTATTTGCGAAATCAGCTTCAAATTTTCGGATAATGTAATATCTTAAAAATAATAATTGCAAAAATAAAAAATTGATTTTTTTTTTAATTCTGGGGTAGTCATTTTGTTTTATTAATAAATTAAACAGATAAATTTCTTCTCATAAGAAATGAAAATTGGTTTTTGCCAAAAATAGAGCCTTTTCGAAAAGTATCTCTGTTTATATATTTTTAACAGACTGCAGCCGAAACTTTTTTATTAAGTTCGCTAACAAACGCCTATCCGACGATAAAATTCAATTATTATACTCTCGCAACCTGTTGCTACAGAGTATAATAGTTTTGTTCACCTAACGGTTGTTTGTATCACCTAAAACTAATCGAGTTAGATATAGGGTTATATATATATAAAAGATCAGGATGAAGAGACGAGTTGAAATCCGGGTGACTGTCTGTCCGTCCGTGCAAGCTCTAACTTGAGTAAAAATTGAGATATCTTTATGAAACTTGGTACCGTGAGACGGTTGGTATTGCAGATGGGCGTAATCGGACCACTGCCACGCCCACAAAACGCCATTAATCAAAAACAAATAAATTGCCATAACTAAGCTCCGCAATAAGATACAAGACTGTTATTTGGTACACAGGATCACATTAGGGAGGGGGGCATCTGCAGTTGAAATTTTTCTTTTAAAGTGGGCGTGGTCCCGCCCCTCAAAAGTTTAATGTACATATCTCCTAAACCGCTAATGCTATAATAATAATTCACTGGAAGCAAATGTTTTTAGAACCTCTATCTACAGTGTGAAAATGGGTGGCAACTCCGCCCACTCCCCATATAACGGTACTGTTAAAAACTACTAAAAGCGCGATAAACCAAGCACTAAACACGCCAGAGACATTAAATTTTATCTCTGAGATGGTATGAGATGACTTTATAGGAACCGCGTTCAAATTAGACAATGGGCGTGGCACCGCCCACTTTTAGGTGAAAACCCATATCTTGAGATCTGCTTAACCGATTTCAACCAAATTCGGTGCATAACGTTCTTTTGATATTTCTATGCCATAGTGCGAAAATACTACAAAGACTACAACCACGCCTATTTCCCATATAACACCATTTCCAATTCCATCTGATTCTGTCACTTTCCACTATGCATATCAAGCAAAAATTATTGTATCGGGGTAAAACTTTGCGTGAATAATGCGTTTGAAGTATGCCACCTTGTGACCAAAATTGTCTAAATCGAGTCAAAAGTGTTCAAGTCCGTAGGTACTGAATATGTGAACCCTAGTGCCTATAGCTGACTTTTTACCGAAAATATCCGTCAACATAGAACAAGGCGGCAAGATCCACAAAGAAATTTAAAACGAGTATACCATTTGACTTTGCGAGAGTATAAAATGTTCGGTTACATCCGAACTTAGCCCTTCCTTACTTGTATTGTAATTATTATTGTTTGAGGATTCACAACTTACCAAATGTAATTTGAACATAATTTTTAATGGTTGGCAAATCTCACAACTCACGTTTTTTTTAAATAATATTCGAAACAGCAACTACATGCCATTTTTGTTTTAATTTTAGATAATCATTTTCTATACAAGCTCATGAGTAAAATGGTGTATCTTTGAACAATCCTTCAAACTTTACTTATTGTGTTGTAATTTATTTATACAAAAGTGCTTGTGAATTTCGGAGCTTGTTGAATTAATTTGTTTTAATGATTAATATTTTTCAGAAATTTTTGCATTTTGTTATACGAGCGATGCCAGTAGAAGTTTTAAAAAACCATGACAGTAAATTTCTATCGTGTGAAATTTTCAACCGTCTGTCCCGGAAACAACTTAATGGTTTGTATTAGTTATTGTATCTTCAGTATTGTACAAAAAATCATTATCTTCATCCTCGGCAGAAAAATAAATATTTTGTTCCGTCTGGTATTCTTCACTCTCAATCAATTCTGAACATGATATATAATCTTTGACAGGCAAAAATGTATCAGGTTTTAAGTTTTCCGTTAAAACTGGGGGTGGTGCCAGATGTATGTTGAGATTAGATATAAATTTATTTATCCATACTGTGAGATTGTTTGCTAAGACTTGTTGATATTCTCTTAGGTTACTTGTAGTGTAGAACTCATTATCTACGTTTTGAAATTTTAATAAAAAGAATTATGCTAACATTATATTAATAATCGGAATATACCAATTAGTTTCACTAATATTTATATACACATATTTTATATTATTATTTTAAAAAGTGTGATTATTATTTATAGGAAATCGACGCTTGTAAAAATTAGATGTTTAAAACTTACGTACCTGTAAAATTCCTAATTTGTTCCAATATAACTGCGCAAAGAGTTGACCGCTCATCTATCAAAAACTGATCGTTAAGTAAAAAATCTCTCATTTCCTCAAATAACACACAAATAATCTTCCTTATTTGTCGTCGCTGCTTACGAAGTATATGCTTTTTGAGTCTCCGACATTGTCGCTTTTGCAACGCTTTAGCAACTCTTTGTAATCGCTTTTCTTCTTCAATATATGAAAGCGCAGTATTTATGCTATAGGACACAATTTTGGATTTATGATCCAAATGATGTTTTAACGACTTAATTTGTCGTTTTCTAAGAAAACTCCTATGTACGTCTAGTGTATAACGGACACGCTTTACATCGGGCATAGCCAATTGCTCTATGCGTGTCGTACAATTTGGCATAATAATTTTTTTCTGGTAATATCTAGGTCTCTTTCGAGGAGCAGCCAAATTTTCTCGCGGTGTGGATAAGTAACACATATGTTCCTCTTTGGTAAGAACATCACGGTCAATTATTACGCTACCGGTATGCTTACATGCATATTCGGGGTTGTATTGCGGGCAAACGCAAAAGAATTTGTATCCATATAAAAGTGGAGCCCGTTTGGGTCTTTTGTATTTATATTTTATGGATGAGCACTGAGTTTTTCGCTGATGAAGTAATGCTTTGGCGGCCTCGAGTTCTTGTGAAACGGTTAGTTTCTTGACTGGATCTAGTTGAATTTCGATAACACTAGGAATTTTATCAAATGTTGAATACATTTTAAATATTTGATGATCTTCACAAACTTAAAAAACAGAATAAAAATAATATTTTTTCTGACATTTGATTTTTCTTTATTTTTTGTTTTATAGATGAAAACTTAACTCTTCAAAGGTATGCTTGTCATTTATATATAGAAGTTTTGAAAAGACTACCAGCAGTAGTTCGGAAGTGGTGGAGTGTTTCCCCATCCCGCCAAAAAGCTTTTGTAGATAAATTGACTATTAATTATATTTCACCTTTAATCTGCGAAGAGGAGTTAAAAGCAATAGGTGCTACTAAAGAAAGGCATGAAAATATGCAAGTAAGTATAATATTCATATTTAATAAATCTATATTTATCGTAAATATATAAACATTTGCAAAGGTGTCTGTCCATTACTCAACAAGAGAAGTTATAGCCACCTATTTTATTGATGATGTACGAACGGAACTTACGATTACGCTTCCATCTAATTATCCATTAGGCCCGATTAAAGTTGATTGCGGGAAAAGTATTGGGGGGCGCTTATCATCACGCACCGATGGCATGCAGCTAGCATTATTCTTAATGCATCAGGTACGTTCTTATTAAATTCATATTATATTTGATCAATTTCAATTAAATAAGTAACAAATATCTTAAAGTTATTAACGAATAATGTTTTGTTGTTTAAAACCATAGCAAAAGTACTTTGTACTCTAATATATTGTTCACGACCAATGAATCCTGATTAACGCAAAATCAAAATAACACTTTACCATTGAATTTTTAGTCTCCTTTTAATTTAAGCACAAATTTTAATTAGAAAACAAGTAAAAACGTTGCACCGAAGCTACAGGGGGGCTCATGAATGATGCTACAAAAACCACCCGTAATAACTTTTTTTTTAATCAATACAGTAAATTTTTTTTATTCTATAGAAAATTTTATTTTATTTTATATAATTAATTATTTTAAAAAATTAAGGACCGTAAATGGCCTCCTTGCTCATCCACGCAATACCTAATTAGAAAATTATTCATTGCGGCCTGAAGGGTTGAAGTCGAGATTGGCTTAATTATCGATATAATGGACTGCTTCAGTGCAGTCAGATTTCTGGGTTTTGTTTTGTACACTTCTTGCTTGACATAACGCCATAAAAAAAGTGGTGCTGTCAGGTGAACTTGGAGGTCAGCGGAAAGTGCAGTTTCTTGATATTAATTTGTTTTTATATTTTCGTAAGAGCTCCGCAACAACCGCTCTGGTTATGTACTTCCATTTGCTCCGTTTTGCTAGAACTAAACGCTATTGAAAGGAATATGTCTTCAGCGCAGTTCTGGGTGAAAAAAACTCATTCAACATTTTTAAATAACGGTGCCCATTGACAGTTACTGTTAAAGTGTTAAAGAAGTATGGCCTGACAATACTCCTTGATGAAACTGCGCACGACAAAGTGACTCGTTTTGGGCAAAATTCCGTCTCGTGGATTATATCTGGATTTGATTCACTCATTATACGGGAATTTTGCTTGTTTACTTTTCCTTTTATATAAATATTGGCCTTTTCAGACATAAACAGGCAATTTATGAAGTTATTGTCTTTTTCGGCCATTCCAATAATTTTTTGGCAAAATTCAAGGCGAATAGACAAATCTAGACGGTTTAACCGGTTTGTTATTTGAACTTTGAACAGAAACAGGTTTAAGTCATCATGAATTATCCGTTGTAATGACCCTCTGCTAACTCCAAGTTGCGCCGATAAGTAGGGAGTCAAAACTCTTGGATTTGAATATATCGATCTCGATGGTATGGTCTTCTTGCGATACTTCCAGATTCGGCAAATATGTTTACCAACTTCATAATGGTTCATCTACTCGGGGGAGTGCTGCCAAAATCCCGTCTGAATTCCTTTTGGACTAAAATGACGAACTGCAAGTCATGGTACTGCTGTACTATACAAACCCTTTTTTTCGGTATCCCAAGCATTCGTTTTTATAAACTTAAATAACAACCTGCCAAATAAAAAAATGAGGTCGATTCAGACACAGAAAAAAGTTATTACGCTTTGTTCTGTAGAAAACCTTTCACAAAATACAAAAGATTCCATATAAGAACTTGATTTTGATCGTTCAGTTTGTACGACAGCTTTTTGCTTTAGTGGTTCGATATCGGCGGTTCCGACAAATGAGCAGTATCTTGGGCCGAAAAAGACATGTGAAAAGTTTCAGAGCGATACCTCTAAAACTGAGTTCGCTTATATACAGACAGACGAACATGGCTTAATCAACTCAGCTCGTTACGCGGATCATTTATATAAAATTTTCAAGCGTCTCCGCGTAGATAGATAATGATTGAGGTATGCACCACGACCTATGGTCTATTGTCCCCTCCCCTAAGTCACAGCGACTCATCTAGCCCCAGCATATTGATGAACTCCAATATACCGCTAGGGGCTAGTGAGGCGATGCGATCTCTGTTTAGAAACATGGATCCCAGGGCCTTAACTCTACGTCTGCAGACTGCTGTGTAGTCCACTAGTAGGTGCTCTGGGGTTTCCGACTCCATGTCGCAGAACCGGCAGTTTGCAGAGGAGACCAAGCCCATGTTAAATAAATGCTTGTTGAGCCTGCAATGTCCGGTGTAGAACGCGACCAGTAGTCGGAATTTGTTCCTCGGGAGATTGATTACGGTTTTAAACCGTCTGAGGTTATAACCCCCTATTAGCACGCACGGTTCTGGTCCTACCATGTTTGTAGAGGCTGCAGAGCGGGCCAACTCGTCAGCAAGTTCATTTCCTGCTATACCCCTGTGACCAGGCACCCAGATGAGGTGCACTCTATTGAGACTTGATAGGCTGTTCAGTCGTTCTATACACTCCTGCACTAGTAGCGATTTGACCTCAAAAGCCGAGATCGCTTTAAGTGCTGCCTGACTATCGCTGAGTATGGCGATGCTCTTATTGCGATAGTCGCGTTGGAGGTTTATCTCTACACACCGACTTATAACATATACTTCCGCCTGGAATATGCTAGGAAAACTTCCCATGGGAATGGAGAGCTTGGTGCGTGGTCCTGCACCCCTGCGCCAATCCCCTTCGCCGTTTTCGAGCCGTCGGTGTACCACTTAATAGTGCTGCGCCTTAGCAGTAGGTCCAGCGTGGAATCGTTCCATTCTGCCTTACCGCCAAGGGTAACCCTGAACTTCCTAGTGAAGCTTACTGTTTTGGTAATGCTGTCCCTTGAAAGAAGGGCCAGTGGCATTGCATCACTTAGGGCCTTCATCTGCTGGGACGAGATTACTTTCCCTTTGCCAAACCCCTTCTGCTGACATTTGAAGCAAGGTCTGTTTGGCCGTCTGCTCGATCAATATATGTAATGATGTTAGCTCCAGCATTACTTCCAGTGCTGCAGTCGGACACGGACGCATCGCGCCCGACGCGCAGATGCAAGCAAGTCGTTGCAGCCTCGATAGTCGAAGTCCTACTGAGGTCTGCGATGCTTTGGAACCCCAGGTCACCGCTCCATATGTTATGATCGGTCTCACAATCATGGTGTACAACCACCTGATAATCCTTGGGTTGCAGCCCCATGATTTCCCAGCAAGTCGATTGCACACCATGAGCGCTTTCGTAGCTTTGGCTACGGTCAGGTCCACATGCTGCTTCCACCGTAGAGTGGAGTCCAGCGTGAGGGCCAGGTACTTTACCGTGCTGACCATCTCCAGCTCCGTAATACCTAGGGATAGGTTTCTGAGGCCTGGCAGCAACCTGCGTCTGGTAAACGGTATGATTGTTGTTTTGGAGGGGTTGATGTTTAGGCCAACCCCACTACACCATTCCTTTGCCAGCCTCAATCCCCTTTGTACAATATCGCAGAGAGTGTCTGCGAATTTACCCCTATCTAATATAACAATATCGTCCGCATATCCCTGACAGCGGACTCCGTTGCTAGTTAGCAGCTCAAGAAGATCGTCCACAACTAGGCTCCAAAGTAGGTGGGATAACACTCCACCCTGTGGAAGTTAGACTTATTGGTCTGAAGGAGTTTGCCAACGAATAGTCTTTCCTTCCTACATTGGGTATGAAGATCACCTTTGTAGTGCGCAAAGGTTCTGAGATATATGCCAGCGCCAGGCTATCCTTCATCAGCCGAACAAGGTGGGGCAGTAGGACCTGCCCCCCTGTTGCATAAAAGCTGGAAGGATGCCATCCGCACCCGGAGACTTATATTTTTCGAAGGAGACCACAGCCCACTTGATGGAGTCCGCAGTGAAGAGCTGTTTTGCGGCTGTCCAATCTAAGCGAGTTGGCTTTCGTTCGACCCTGGGTCGAATTAGGTCTTCTCGAATTGTTTTCGGGAAATGCACACGTAGAAGGGCCGTGGCTCTTTCCTCCGCGCTGGACGTATAGGTCCCTCCGGTCCCCTGTGCAGTGCTGCCTCTCTGCCGCTTGGTGTTTGGCGGCACCTGCCCACTCTTGCGCTTCGCGGCTTGGGTGGTTGAAGGCGCTGCCCTTTCGCAACCCCGCCTAGCGGCCTCAGTTGCGTTAACCGGGCGTTGGCTTCGATTTCCGCTGCTCTTTTTACTGCTAGACGCGGTATTGCCACCCTTCCGCTTCTCCGAGGCAGGGGAGGCATTGTTTCCTCTCACCCTGTTACGCGCCAACTTTTCGTCTTCCTCCGGAGTCTTCCCCTCCTGGAGGTACCATTCGAGCCTGGCACCGCTCATGCCTTTCCTCCTGGGATCGTCCTGCCCGCCTGGACTGCCATTTGGTGGTAGAGGGGTCTTCCTCCCCTCTTCCGTTTTCGTTTGCGAGCCTTAAATTTAGTATTTCAAAAATAAATACTGAAACAATGAATATTATTATAAATATTATATTAATACAATTTAAAACTATAATTTTTCTGTAAGGTTATGGAAAGCCGCGTTGCAAAAATTTCGGGCAATCATAAAGGATCCATAACGTTGTATATTTCTGCTTGCGCTTTTGCTGCTATCTTGTTGGAATTTAATTTTTTCTTTCAGCCTAATTAATTTGTTATTTAAGGAAGGCTTTTCTTTAAAATATATGCTGTGATAATATATTCAATAACATTTTACATTTCCAATCGTTCTATACATTAGTCTTCGCTGAAATAACCTTCCACCCAGATTTGTATACGCATATCTGATATATTTTAAACAAGTGCGCAATAAACGCAATCAATAACAAGGAACTGTTCTCAAACTTCGTTGCATAAGTCAGTGCGTTTGTCCCTATTATTTCTGCCTCTAGTGTATGATCCTTGACACTTTGAGAGGTTCGGTTTTGTAGATGAGCGGTTACGGAATACTGCTACGCTCAGAAAATGCCATTATTCGAGAACCTATAAAGTACCATAACTAAGCCGACAATAATGATACAAAACTTTATTTTGGTAATTTGATACAACGAATCGTATTAAGGAGGGACACATGTGGTTTGAAAAAATCTTAAATTGTTTACTGTTTAATGGATTGTACGGGTTGCAAAGTTTGATTTGCAATTGTACAACAACAAATAACAAAAAATATTCCATGCCTGCAAAATACAAGGTACTATTCAAAAGTTCCTAATGGCGCCATCTGTCTGAAATTGTTATTCCTCAATTGTGTATTCTTCAGTGTTGTCGTATAAAATTTATATAACAGCTGACTTGTATAACAGCTGAGATATCGCGCTACATGTGACATTACATTTGTAGTGTCGGTCGGAAAATGAGCATCGAACAAAGAGCCAACATTAAGTTTTGTTTTAAACTTGGTAAAACTTTTACCAAAACTCATCAAATGATGAAACAAGTTTATGGCGATGATTGTCTATCCCGTAGCCGTATTCACGAGTGGTTTAAACGTTTTCAAGAGGGACGGGAGGACTTGAAAGACGACGAGCGTTCGGGCCGGCCGAAAAAAACACGGAAATTGTGCGTGATTTCATTAAAAAAGAGCCGAAATCATCGCTTAAATATATGGAATCGGAATTGTCAATATCCGCAGCGTCGATTTATCGTATTTTGACAGAAAATTTGGGCCTCAGAAAGGTTTGTGCTCGATTTGTCCCGCACACTTTGAAACAACATGAAAAAGACCTCAGAATTCAACATTCAAGAGACATCATTAAAGAGGCCAAAAAGGACCCAAACTTTTTGTATTCGATTGTGACTGGTGATAAAACATGGTGCTTTGAATATGAGCCCGAAACCAAGCGCCAAAGTGCGAAGTGGCAGTCTTCAGAGGAGGGGAGGCGCCATCCTCAACGCTATATATGTCGGTAAAAAAGTCATTCAATAACCTTCTTGAACGTGCAAAACGTTGTATTCAGGCGGAAGGAGACTATTTTGATTTTTCAAAAAAAAAAAAACAAATAACATTCATTTTTTAATAATAGTCCTGAAACTTTTGAATTGCACCTTGTATACTTCACCAAAATCTATGTTAATTTTCGTGCTATGAGGCAAAACAAAATAATTTAACTCTGTTCCAACTGTAATATTACATATACACACATACATTTCACTTCTCGTGCATCTCTTGCATATTTTTGTATATAATTTTTTACATTTCGTGCTATCTTGCAAGAGTAAGAGAATTCTTCTAATATTACCGAACTGAATAATATAGCACATTATTAATTATTTTTCATACAGAACGGAACAATAATAGATGGATTAGCGCTGTGGAAGAATAACTTGGATAAAAAGTTCGAAGGTGTAGAAGAGTGTTACGTGTGTTATACCGTTATTAATCAAGATACCTATCAGTTACCGAAACTCACATGCAAAACTTGCAAAAAGAAATTTCATGGTTCGTGTTTGGTAAGTACCACTTTTTATCACTATATTTGACAAAAGGTAAAATTTGAAGTGAATTTAGTCATCTAATCTATGTTAAAAAAAATTAAGATTCGTAACTATGTTGAAATTATTTTTTGGTTTCGAAAATTCCATTTCCTATTTTGTAAGGTTAAAATTCTACAAATTATTCCCCCACTCTTCCTATACACTGTATTTAGTTATGTGCCCATAAGTTTTCGATTGGGTTGATGACAATATTTTTGCTTGGGATGATTATCTTATATCTACATTATAATATCAATGTATTCGGATTTACCGGATCAGTGGACCGGAGTAATGCATGCTTCTTCATGAATGTTTTGAAAATGTTTAAACACATTTTATTTGTCATATTATCTTCAATATTTTGCTTTCACCAACACCGTACCTTGAAAATATATTACCACCAGGGTTGCAATTATGCATTAAAAAATAATTGAATTAACATTTAAATTAATTTTTTTTGCAAACCTTAAAATCTTAATTAAATATAATACAGGATTGAAAAAAATTTTAATCCCAAGTTTATATTTAAAAATTAAAAAAAAAAAAAAACCAATTGTTTTTGAATTTACATTTTTTCACGCTTGCGTACTTATTCCCATTTTGAACTCGAGCTCGCACAGAGCACTAACCAAACTTACTAATTCATGTCTTTCTTTTCATTTTTTCATTATGATTTCATGTAATTCATGGAACTAATTCCTTTGAATTTGTTTAAAAAAGAAAAAAACCAAACAATAATAAATACCTGTATGATGCTGTACCACATAAATGACAACCATTAACTTTAAAAGTGAAATGTGGTCTTGCAAAGTGTGCATTAATTACCTCAATTCAATAAAATGGGTCGCTGGGAAGCGTAACGGTCAGCAGAAGAGCAAAATTTACGTTTACGTTCTGCTAGCAAAAGCTATTTAGAAATTTGTGAAATAATGAAGTTAAGTCGTTTCACTATTCGGAGTATAATCAAGCGTTTTAAAGATGTGCGTTGTCTTCATAGTTTCGAACGTTTGGGCCGCCCGCTTAGTTTAGTTCTAGGAGAGGGGGAGTATGTAGTTCGTAAAATAAAATTAAAAATTCAAAACTAACTTGAAAAAAAATGGTTGCGGAGCTTAAGGAAAAATTAAATAAACATGTTCATGCGAAAGCAGTGCGGCGTGTGCTTATTCGTAACTGGTACAAATCTAGAAGTTTGAAAAGCACAACGTAACAATATTGGATCTGAGGTGACATGTAAGATGGTGCACTTCATGTCAAATCGTTTAAATGAAGTTATTAAACTCAAAGGTTCAAATACCCTTTATTAAATTTGCCCGTTATTTTCCATCTTCAAATAAAACTTCTAACAGTGCTTGAACTTTTGTCCACTGAAATATATTCGGTTTTTATTTAAATTATGGTAACAAAATAACCATACCCATTGCATAAATGAAATTAAGCATAGAGATAGATAACACAAAGCTAAGTATATGACTAGTACACTATTTGAATCTGCTTTTTATATTAACGAAACTTCAGGGAACTAAAGGAATCAACATCCGCTGTGCCAAAACTTTTGTCCGTTAGTGTATATGTACGAAATTTTAAGCTTCTGCCATCTTACATATTCAAGTTGTAACTAAAATTAAAATTTTGTTTCCATATGAGTGGTTTCCATTGAATATCAGGTTTTCTTTTTCATGTAAATGTTTTCATTTTTAGTGACGATTTGTAGTTTGAAACGAACTCTTCATACTCTAGCATTGTATTTGTCGCTGTTGCTTTGGCAACTACTAACTGTAGAATGGGAAAAGTTTGGAACACCGCTTTCTTCTTGTGATTTATTACTGGTTGGGCTTCACGTGAGCTTAACCAGCTTTGGTCACCTCTTATTACTTGCGCAAACACAAGATTCTTCTCTTCGCCCTTAGCAGGGTCACCTTTCAGGAGATGTAGTTTTTACAAGTTGTACAATGGTAGTTGTACACGAATTACAATAATATTAAAAACATGGCCCGTTTGTTTGAAAGAGGTGGGATCATATCAACACTTTTTTGACTGTCCCACATTTGCATATTCAGGAAATCACGTGAACTAGCAGAAATTAAAATTTTTAAGCAGATTTGTGATAGGTTTAAAGCACATTACCGAAACATGATATCCAATAAATTATTAAATGTCAAAAGACATTATACAAATTATATATTTTATTACGATTAGGCTGTAAATAAATTGTATTATGTTAACATACAACTTTAATATTTAAAAATACTAAATGTTTTTTATTTACTTAACTTTTATTGCAGTACAAATGGTTTACAACCAGCAGTAAATCAACATGCCCAATCTGTCGAAATGTTTTCTAGTGATAGAAATGAGTCGACTATTAAAAAAAAAAAACAAGCAATTCATGAAGAGGGGCGGATGTTGTTCATTCCAAGGCTGCTTACAAATAAAATTAATGGAAACTATACCTATATGTACTAATAAATATTCATAATGATATAAACACTGTATATGTATATCTATGGAACTGACTATCGGTTGTTTATTCAAAGCACAACCCCTATACCTTCAAAACTGTTTTGTAAAAATATATATTTATTATAATACATTTTAGATTGTTTATAACTTGTTATTGCGTTGAGCTATGTGGAAATTTTTAATTTCTAGTGCATCATCCCTGTCGGAGTAACGTAAATAGGTGACAAACGCAAAAGTAAAATTGCTTATATAAAACGAGTAAGGAACCGCTAAGTTCGGTTGTAACCGAACATTTCATACTTTTGCAACTGGCAAGGACCAAAGCCGGCTAAATAACTTCAGATGTTGGTAATATCCATAATTTTGCGAAAGGGTTCAACATTATTGTTCGACGAGATTACAATAAAGTAGCCTGCCTTAGTTTTATTACTATACTTTACTTCCCGTCAGCGAAAATTATACTAAAATCATTGTGGGCAAAGAAATGGAACGGCTGATTGCATTAATTTTTGACATTGCTAAGGTATACTTGAGAACTTATATTCAAGTCATTTTATAAATATAAACATATATAATATATGGAGGAAAGACACAAAGATACATTGTTATTAAAAACACACGCTCTCATTTCAATAAAATAAGTCCCTCATTGGCTGATGTATATGGTATAAAATCAACTGGAAGTTCGAAAATCTTTTTATTACTTGTAGGTATATGAAATACCGATTTAACCAATTTTTGACATAAGGATATATGTATTTTTATCAAAGATTTTCAATTTATATCATACAGATTGACCGATATTTTCGGCAAAAAGTCAGCCATACGCACTGGGATCCACATATTTGGAGTCTGGGTTCTTCAAAAGTTATGGTACGATTTAGACAATTTTTGGGCGTAAGATGAAATACCTTGAGGATGAAGGCACTATTTGTGCAAAGTTTTATTTGGATACGTTGATTGGTTCCTGTTTTGTATGCTGGAAAGTGAAAGAATTAGATGGAATTTAATTTGTGTTATATGGGAAGTAGGCGGGGTGTTTGTCTGATTTCACCGGCGGCGCCACACGCACTTTTAAAATTTTTTTTAGCCCACAGGTGCTTCTTGCTAGTGCTTAGTTATGGCATTTTTTTCCAAAAAAGTTTCATTACGATATCTCAATTTTTACTCAAGTTACAGCTTGCATGGACAGATGGACGGATAGACACTCACCCGAAATTCAATTCGTCTTGTCATCCTGATTTTTTTAACCCTAAATCTAACTCGATTATTTTTAGGTGATACAAACAACCGTAAGGTAAACAAAACTATTATATAGACATGTTGCAAGAGTATAAAAATTAAATGAATAAGTAAGTTTCCCCTCTTACAGATAAAAAGGTCTTCGCTACTAGAGAAATGAAAGCGCTACTAGAGTGCTACCTACTAGTAGCGCTACCCCAGCTGGAGTGTCTTAAGTTCGCACCCGAGTTAATAATGACATTGGTTCTTCTTTGCCTAGTCTTAGCAAGAGTCCTATTCAGCAGCGCTCGATACTGAAGACGTATTCCTCGATCGGAGATCTCAACGGAGTTCTCTCAACCTACACCTACCACATCGACTTTATTATGACGGGAAAGGAAAGTACTCCGAGGATTGCCAGGGTTTCATACTCAGGTAACCGAATACCTCGACACAAGCGTTCAGTGAACACTGTTCACCAAATTCAAACTTTAGTTTTAAACATAATCTGTGTAAAATCCCAGGTCAGATGTCTGTTAGGAAAGTAAATGTAAAACCCCAAGTCTGATGATCGTTAGGACTTTTTCAGACCATGAAGCCCGCAGGTCATTTAGCCACCGACATACGCTGTGTTCAAGATGTAGACAAATGCAGTCCTGTGCACAATTAGCAGGCACAAAAACCGATACCACTAGTTGATTGCTCAAAAATCTTTGTATTGGGTATATTGATGTTGGAGGAAATATTGAACCGATTTTACTAATTTTTTACACAACAGCAGAATATTATAGATATATTATGTTTTCTGAATTTCAGTAATATATCTCACCAATTCTCTGGTATTTTTGATGAAAACTTAGATTGTGGCACTTAGGTTTTAATACGTTTAGTATCAATGCGCTATTTTAGGACTGATCCTCGTACCAAATGTAACGCAGAATCCCACTTACATAGCTTTGAAAACGCTAGTCTTTTGTTTTACTCCAAAAGTCCTAGATATGGATCACCAGGCCTTTATAAATCCAAGAAGCGCTTTGAGTATATTATACATTTTTTAAGTCGGTTAAATCCCAGCAATTTCGTGAGATTCCTCGAAAGTGTGTCTACCGAGATGTTTTGAACTCAGCGTTGCAAAAGCTGAACAGTTGAGAAGAAGTGTTTAGATGATTCCACCTCGGTTTCTTTCATACAGCTTTGGTAATTTATTCGTAGGACAAGATATGTAACCTCACTCCATGTGAGCCTATTGAACAGTTTACAATCAGAATGCTTACCATGCCGGCGAACTGAACCTTGCTAAGCGAAAGTAGTTCAAAGGACCTCACTCGTTCCACTTTGGCCTGAAGACACAGATCCAACGCTAGAGTGTAAGAGGACAGCGATTCGTTGCCAATATGATAAATTTGGGGTCAGGGTGCCTAATCTAGTGAGCGATTCCGCTGAGACCCGGCACTCAAACAAGTTGCATAACAAAGTATATGATACTATTGATAAAGATGTCAAGCATTTCTTGACAAGTCGTAAACGTACTGCCAGCGAGCTCAAGCTCAAGTATGACAGTTCGCTATAGGTGCAGTACATCTACAGCTACCTTGATAACAGCCATTTCCGCTTGAATGACACGGCAGTATACTGATAGTCTGATGCTAGAGTAGATGGAAAGCTCCAACATTGCAGCTGCTTACAAAGTGTGGTTTTTCTAGCGCTTTAACCAAGCAACAACCACATAAAAGAAATGGTCATTGAAATTTTTTCCAATTAGATATCAAATGTGCACTTTCCCTTGATGCCTAGATCTTCCCTGTTCCAGATAAAAAGGTCTTCGCATCCAATAAAACCGAAAAGCTACTCACCTCCAGCGCATATATCCGAGCTCATCCAGACGGTGTGTCTTGAGTTCGCGTCCGAGCCAATTATGATATTAGCTCTGCTTTGCTTGGACTCAGTTGTATCCCAATGATCCTGCCATTCGTTTAGACTATTTTGCCATTATTCGTAAATGTTCGTACGAGTACTCTTGAACCACACTCTTTTCAACTCAAGCGACATGATATCTGGTGCAATTATACCAGATGTGATACTAACAGCTTCATGCGAAACTGCGCAAAAAGCATGTTAGCCTGAACAGCGAATTTACCAGCTATACGTAAACTTCATATGTTAGTGCCGGGTCTTATACATTTTTCACACATAGGATAATAGCTTGGCTAGTTTTTGTCAAAAGTAACATCTCTTTTTAATTTTGACAACCTATAATGGCCATATTTCGCGGTAAGACCGAAATTACTCGATAAGCTTTTTCACAGCTTTTTTTCATATGCGTTTTGTACCTCAATCAACCTTCAGAGTATTGGTCTCTCATTATTCTTCGGCTCGTAATCAGTACTGCTACGGTTTTCTGTCCCGCTGGTGAAGTGACTGCACACATGTTTTCTATTTGATGCAACTATTTTGCTACTATTTCCGCAGCAATTTCATCCGCATATCCTATAATTTTCGCTTCTTTCGACAGAGGGAGGCGGTATATTCCGTTATGGAGTATATTCCATAACAGGGTCCCAACTTGTATCCATGTTCACGCTTCCTGCGAAGCCCGTATTGATTTCTACATTAAGATTACACCATCTAAAACAACACCAACACTAAACACCATCAATTAAAAATTTTGTGTAGACCTCTGTAATGCGTATTGCGATCTTCAGAACCCGATTTGGGATGACATTAGGCTCTGTTGCTTTTAGCATTGCCGAAACGTGCAGCGGCATTTCTGACTGCTGTGTTAGTAACCATTGATATACTTATTATGCTCCAAATTTTCGCTGGGTAATATCTCTTATTCCCGCACTTGTACAGGAAAAACTGTTTTAACTACATTTTAGAGAGAGTTGGACGGGTCGGCACTTGTGCTGAAGGACCTCAAACATTGGCCATGATCAGAATATGTTCTCGCAAAGTTCTTTGAAGTAGGGCGCTTTAATTTTTTTTGTAGCCTTTTTCAGTTCTTTTTGTTTGGTTTTGACGATTTCCGAAGTCTTTCATGGTCCACCGCTGGTACTGTCGCCTCGCTTTATTGCAAGCGCTTCTGAGTTGTTCGATATCGCTGCTCCACCAATAAGCTGGCTTTCGTTTGAAGTTTTGGTTTTTTTCGAATTAAGAGGGATTCGCAGGCTTTGAGAACTTGTGGTACTAGTTTTTCTTGTTGATTTGCATATTCTTTCATATCACACACCCGCCGCTCTGTCATTCGTATTATATATAATAGAACAAGGACCTTTATTTACAAAAGTGTTCCTAAAATATCAAGTAGACAAAAGGCTTTGAGTAAATCATGCTCTCGCTGATTTGTGCTTCTGCTTCCCTGTTCTAGGGCCTACTCCTACAATTTATCAACAATCTTTCCAAAAGCAGGCTGCGAAAGACTTGATGGTAAGTAACAGCTATAAATGTATATTCTAAATATTTTTACTCTCGTATAGAAGGATTTATTCGTCAGTGGTGTGACTCGCATCATTTTGTCGCCCCTTGCCCAAAAACACTTTTTTTTTATTATCAGACACCCATGTAGTAGAGTTCGAAATTTTGTATTGCTCACAGATAATTACGACATGTATTTTCTTTGCGTACACGGTTTGGTTTAAATATTCTGGGTAGTATTTTCCTTGCTTTACTTTTTTGTAGACCTTTACGTAAATAGGACATCCTCTGCTGTCAATTTGGTGATTTCTGCTCGCTCTTTCCTCGGTTTTACATAAGACTCAAATTTGTTCTTTATGACTGTCCTTCGAACAATATCCAATTTCTCCGTATTTCATGGAACATTTACTGTTTAAAATATCGGTATCAGTTTTTTATACTCTTGCAACATGTTGCTACAGAGTATAATAGTTTTGTTCATCTAACGGTTGTTTGTATCACCTTAAACTGATCGAGATAGAAATACAGTTTTGTATATATAAATGATCACGATGATGATACGAGTTTGATCCGTTTAACTTTCTGTCTGTCCGTGCAAGCTGTAATTCAAGGAAAAATTTAAATATTTTGATGAAAGTTGGTACAAATATTCCTTGGTACATTACGAAGTTCGGTATTTTATATGGACGAAATCACCACTGCCACGCCCACAAAACGCTATTAATCGAAAACATATAAAGTGCCATAACTCAGCAATGTATAATATCTCCTATATCACCCAAATTTGCACACGACAAATCCATTCGACACCTCTTACGACAGTGTGAAAACAGATGTAATCGGATGATAAAACCGATCACTCCCCATAAAACGGGCTTGTTCAAAACTACTAAAAGTGCGAAATATCAAAAACTAATTATGTCAGAGGCATTAAATTTTACTTCCGGGATGGTACTAGAGGTGTGTATAGGAGCCGGTATCAAAATTGGACGGCCCACCTTTAGGTGAAATAACATATCTCGAGCAATATCAACCAAATTCAGTAGGTAACATTATTCTGTTCTACCTTAGATACAGTGCTAAAATGAGCGAAATCGTACCACTACCACGTATATATCCCTAATATAACAATTTTCAACTCAATCTGATTCTGTCACTTCCGGTATATAAAACAAGAACCAATGAATATGTCAGGATAACACAAATAGTACTTTTAAGGTATGCCATATTAAGACTAAAAATCAGTTTTGAGGGTTCAAACCGTATAAATACCGAAGATGTCACCCCAGTGCCAATGGCTGATTTTTTACCGAAAGTAGAAAACCTCTTGATAATAGTATGTCTTTATGCTAAAAATTTTTTGAATCATGTCAATACTTCCCTTAACCCCATATACCTAATACAAAGATTTTCGAACTTCCGGCTGACTTTATTCCGCATATATCGGCCAAAATATGTGTTATCGTAATAATATTGAAAGAGCGTGATTTTTTAATAACGGTGCATCGGTAGAAAGATTGCCCCAGCCCCCATATAAATAATAACAGTATTTTGAAACATCCGGTTGTTTTTACTCCTTATATATTGGCGATGGAATTTGAGGTACCTTAATGAAACTCAGAGAGCATCTTTTTATACTCTCGCAACCTGTTGCTACAGAGTATAATAGTTTTGTTCACCTAACGGTTGTTTGTATCACCTAAAACTAATCGAGTTAGATATAGGGTTATGTATATATAAATGATCAGGATGAAGAGACGAGTTGAAATCCGGGTGACTGTCTGTCCGTCCGTCCGTCCGTCCGTACAAGCTCTAACTTGAGTAAAAATTGAGATATCTTTATGAAACTTGGTAGACATGTTTCTTGGTACCGTGAGACGGTTGGTATTGCAGATGGGCGTAATCGGACCACTGCCACGCCCACAAAACGCCATTAATCAAAAACAAATAAATTGCCATAACTAAGCTCCGCAATAAGATACAAGACTGTTATTTGGTACACAGGATCACATTAGGGAGGGGCATCTGCAGTTAAAACTTTTTTTTAAAAAGTGGGCGTGGTCCCGCCTCTAATAGGTTTAATGTGCATATCTCCTAAACCGCTATTGCTATAATAACAAAATTCACTAGAAGCAAATGTTTTTAGCATTTCTATTGACGGTGTGAAAATAGTTGAAATCGGGTGGCAACTCCGCCCACTCCCCATATAACGGTACTGTTAAAAACTACTAAAAGCGCGATAAATCAAGCACTAAACACGCCAGAGACATTAAATTTTATCTCTGAGATGGTATAAATTGGCTTTATAGGAACTGCGTTCAAAATTAGTCAGTGGGCGTGGCACAGCCCACTTTTAGGTGAAAACCCATATCTTGAGATCTGCTCAACCGATTTCAACCAAATTCGGTGCATAACGTTCTTTTCATGTTTCTATGTCATAGTGCGAAAATGGGCGAAATCGGACTACAACCACGCTTACTTCCCATGTAACACTATTTTTAATTCCATCTGATTCTTTCACTTTCCACTATGCAAATCAGGTAACAATGATTATATCGGGGTAAAACTTTGCGTGAATAATGCAATTAAAGTATGCCACCTTGCGGCCAAAAATTGTCTAAATCGAACCAAAACTGTTCAAACCCCTAAGTACTAAATATGTGGACCCCAGTGCCTATAGTTGACCTTCTACCGAAAATATCTGTCAATCCACAAAGAAATCTCAAACGAGTATACCATTTGACTTTGCGAGAGTATAAAATGTTCGGTTACATCCGAACTTAGCCCTTCCTTACTTATTCTGTTAATAATATTGTAACGGATTTCTCGATAAATCGTCTACCTTTTATCTCTCTCTTGAGTTCGAACACTGGGTTGTTAAATAAAAGTTCGAATTTAATGGCTATACACTTATATTTATATCTAACTCCAATAACTTAATTATTTATTACTGATTATCCGAGCTTACTACTTCTTACTTATATCTCAATTGCTCTGCACATTCCGGCAGCCCTTATATAGTTGATCTTTAACAAAAGTTCACCACTAGAACATTCTGCATCTACGAATTCGCTGTCTAGTTGCTTCTGGCAATTTATTGTCGATTCGATTTTGTTCTGTAATCCATGTTTGTCACAATATGTACTAATGCCAAAAATAGATAAAATGGGGGATTTTAATATAATTTAAGCTGACGCGAAGTAAAATATAGCAATAAACTTAAGTGAGTCTATGACCTATATACATATATATAAATTAATAAAATACCAAATTTTAATATAATCCATTCACGATTTCATCGGAAAACGAATGCTGAATTCTTTCTCAAAATTTTTTAACACCTAAAGGTATTTCCCCGGTGAATCCGAACTTAGCTTTCCCCTTTTTTTTAAACTTGCTTTTCTCGTATTCTGCATACTAGCCAACCAGTCATAATATAATATTTGGTCGCTTAACAATAGCCTCGCTTGTTGTACTGGGATACTTATTTGCCCTATTAATTTTACGAAGGGATGGCCTCGACTATGTCTCCCTTCGGCGTGATTTCGCCGTCTCGAATTTCTAACGTTTCCACAACAGTCAAAGTTCTTACATACTCCTGGTCTCCTAATACCTATCTATTTCATCTAGGTATTCATGAGTACTTCCTGTTTGTGCACTTCTTAGCTCGACGAAGACCTTTTCTTAGGCTATCTTCCTTAATCACGAGAGATTTTTGCTCAACTGCTTAAGATCTTATTTTTTCTTTTGGGTTTTATACCATTTTTTCTTTTGGGTTTTATACCAGGATTCGTCAGTTGGTGTTTTATTTTTCCTTTCCTTGGGCAAAATTTCTCACTTGTTTGTTTTTCTAAGTTTTTAAGTTTTGCATGATCTTTTTGCGCACATGCATGCAGCTTCGAGGTCGCGATGAGGAGTTCTCTCATGGGATTATGATTCCTTTCTGACAGTTTGACAAAACAAATAAAAAGAATTCGTTGGTTCAAATTTTGAAATTAAATATATTTTAATAATACCTTTCGCAGTATGAAGCTGGTAATCGGGGGACTTGGCTACTAGAATATTCTGGTCATAGTATAGAATTATTCTTACTTACTCCATTTGGAAATCCCGACCCAGGTTCACTAGAACGCAGATTCAACCAGCAACACGCAAAAACATCGTAGAGCGCGTTATAGGAGTTATAAAAAGTCGTTTTCTTTGTTTAAATCCTACCTTGCCGTAAACGCTACATGTACATATGTATGTTGTGCCCTACATAACAAATAATATGTAAATGTTATAAAATAGATGATTTTGAACCATAAATGGGGTTAGAAGCCGATACAATTGACGAGGAAATAGTTGTGAATAAGGAAAGCAACAGTTTAAATAATATTGGTAAACATTTAAGAGATTCCGTTGTAAGAAATTTGCTATTACAAAAAGCATAAATTTAAGTAAAATACATACAAATTGTTTGTGCATAAGTAACTGGAGTGTATTTATTTTGATAATTCATTTTTAAGCATTCTCATTTTTATTTTAACTTTTTCTTGTTGTAACTGCTCCATTCTGATGTTATGCCTTTTTCCCCTCTAAACTCTGTGCTTTTATTCATAATTTTTTGCTGGCACTCACTAATCCACATGGAATGTTGTGGTAATTTTTTTCATGAGAATCTTGAATGCCCTCAACGGCCGCGAAAATTCCACAAATCTTAAAAACACATTCGTCGCTATTTGTTAATATTATATATGCTTATTGAAGGGTCCACTCCATGTTGCTCTAGACTCCAAATTGTTTGCACATAACGCCTTTTTAACATATACCATATCTTAATAATTAACATAAACATACATCTTCAAATTCATTCATTTTATATTCAATCAAATACCACTTACTTTTTTCCATCCCTAACGTTCCTTCAGGAGTGGCCCTTCAGCATTCAGCAATGTGGCTAGCTCCTTCCACTTCTCATTAACAGCCATTCTGTATGCGTTTCCATAAATTCAACTAATATTCTTGTTTTGATTAATTGCGTTTTTAAGTTTAAAGAATAACGTTTACATATATATTTTGTTTATTTTTATTTTATCTGTATATAATTAGACTGGATAAAATTTATACCGTTGGAAAGGAGAATACGTGTAGAAGTGCACAACTGCAAGCGCATTGTTGTACTTTGTGTGTAGCACACTGATCTTTGTTAAAATTACATTTTTATTGTTTGTGAAAAATAAACACACATTGAAGTGGAATTAACCTTTGATATTATTCGTTTTATTTTGGGTAGTTAGAAATTTTTTGATTAATTTTAAGAGCATTGTGTGATAGTTAATTTTTTGAAAAAATGTTTTCAAGGTCAATTTTATTTAGTTGGGTGATTGATTAGATCAACAACAATAACGAAATACAAGCAGGAAGTAATAGAATTTTTTCCCGTTTTCTTTGCATGAACTTAATTGCTTGCAACTTTTATCGAAAATTGAATTATCAGCGATCATTTTATTTTGGTGCCTTAAAAATTTTTAAAAACAAAACAATAGAGAAACTATGCAATTGAATAGAACACGAAATGTAATTAATACTACAAATTGGTGAATTTGATGAAGTTGTTTTTTTTCTACAACTTTGTTTAGATTTTGTTCAAATTCTTCAATTGAATTTTCTTTTGGTCGAATTTCGACCACTGGCGACACAGCGGAAGCGGATTTTCTTTTTGCAGTGTGGGTGGGGACGACCTTACTCGTACGTGATTTAGCCATTGGCCACCACAGTAGCGCTGTGTAATGCCTCGTTGTATAAATTCACAGTTGGAAATTATAAAAAATTTATTTATTGATTACCAGTTAAAAAATTTAATTTACTTCATTTATTTTTGATAGTTCAAAACTCGGCTGATTTAATGTACCACATAATAAAAAAAATTATTTAAATACCCTACAACACGGTGGTAACCAATTCACTACCACACTCGTAAAATTTCACTTCTTATCCCACTAACCTTTTAAATGAAAAACTCTGCTGTAAGAGTAGCAACATTGATCATGCATGAATGCTAAAAAATGAGACGCACATATAGATTTACCATTTTCCATCAACAATGGCCGGCAATATTTGTAAACAAATTTTGAGGTAAGCGCGTGTTTTGATATGCTCGGTAAAATTTATATTATATTACTTTGTTTTATAGATTCAAAAGGCGTTTATAAAGAAAGCAGGTTCTTGAATTTTATGTTTTTTCTAAAGCATTTATTAAATATAATTACAGAGGAAATCAAGTGATATTTTTCTCAATGGTGATTCCAAGGTAGGTTGCCTTATTTTGTGATTTAAGGTTGGAAATAATACTTACATTTTCTTGCCACGTCTAGGTTGTATTGCTTTGCTATTTGCAGCGCATGATTCACGAAGTATGTAGTGACCGAGGCCTTCAGATGGTTGATTGGTGATATTGATACGCGTTTTCGGCAGGCATTTCCTAACCCTGGCGAAACAGTGGGTACTCTGGTTTGGGTGAACGTGCTTCACAGTTAAGCGTGGTTGCGCGATGCTTAAATGAACTACTTATTCATTTACTTTGTGTATTTTTTAAGTGTTGTTAGATGACACTCAACAATTTCCATTTTATTGCTGAGTCGTCATATAACGCAATATTGAGTTGTGAGAAGGCTACAAATACAAACAACAGACAAAACCGAAAAGAGAGGAGGAACAAAATTGGCGACAGATGTATGATAATATACATACATACATCCTCCGTAAACGTCCCTTGAGGAAAATCAAAGAGAGCGTGTTCATTTCATCTTTTAATTATTATATGTACTCACACATATTTGTTCGTATACAATTGCATATTGCATATTCAAAGTCCACATTGGCACATTTCTAGCAATACCCCTTATTCTTGTTAAAACATAAGCAAGCAGGATTGCATACAAAACATAAAAGATTACATGCTCACATATTTCGTGCATACTTACATACATATGTACCAAGTGCATTGATCTCTTCAACGAGCTCATAAATATATACGTCGTGTATTAGGGTGTACCTAAATTCGTCAACATAAGGACATAAAAAGTATTGTTAAAATAAAAATGCGGTCCTTAATAAAACAATTAAGAAAATATTATTTAAAATCGGGATAAGTAAATACAAAAATGTATTAATAACACTGAAAACACGTTTTTAAAATATAATCCGAAATATCAAAGCTTTATTCACCTAAAAGAGTATTTGGTAACAATTATCATTTATCGCTTCATATACATAAATCAGATATACACTGAGAAAAATTTAATTCGTTTTGACAAATATTTCAACATACTTCAGAGAGATACCCCGCAGGACAGGTTGCAAATGGCAAAGATTTTTCAGTTCTGAGAGTGAAAGTCTAATACGATACTGCACTCGCTTTTCTTCTTTACCGATTCAAGACAACACTGAATCGTTTTTAGAAATAAAAAAACCAAATCTTGACAATTTTTGGACTCGTCTCCAAGCGGCTCATGACGCTATAGTGGATTCTGACGATGGAGATCTACCACAAAATTTTAAATCATCGGCTTACGCAATATACGAAAATTTCTTAGACGAATATGAAGCTACAAAAGCTATGATATCCGATCAATTAAATCCAATAAAAGCTATTGCACCTACTCCATATCGCAGAGTAGAGCTGCCACAAGTACAAAGTCAAGAGGCAAGTTCAGGCATTAACCTCGAGGTATCCGCATGTGACACAAAAACATTTTTGGGAGGTTATAAAGAATGGCCGTCCTTTCGGGACATGTTTGCAACCGTTTACATCAACCATCCTAAACTATCAAAAGCGCAAAAATTGTATCACCTTCGATACAAAAGAAAAGGTCAAGCAGGCGCAATAGTAAAACAGTTCGTACTTAATGACGACAATTTCAATTTGGCTTGGGAAGCTCTAAAATCTAGATATGAAACGAAATATTGGTCGATAAACAAGTAACGATATTAATAAATTTGCCTAAAATACAAAAATGAACAAGTGAAGAATTTGTTAAACTACTATCCACTGTTTCAAATTGTTTGTCGGTTCTATTGACACAAAATATTCCCACCGACAATTGGAACCCTATTCTGGTGAATATATGCACCGCAGCATTACCAGAAAAATCGTTACGTTTGTGGGAGCAATCGGTCTCATCGCGAAGAAAATGCCCAAAGTGGCAACAAATGAAAGGTTTCCTAACTACCCAGAATCGCTGAAAGAGTAGATAAAATACTAATTAAAACAAAAATTGAAAAATTAAACAGAAGCTTTTACAAAACGCAATCGTTCACATCCGAACAGAATAAACATACGTCATGCGAACGATGCACAAGAGAGCATAAACTACAATCTTGCGAGAAGTTTAAAAACTTAAAAGTTAACGAACGAAATAATTTTGTCAGATCAAAAAGACTTTGTACAAATTGCTTGTCACATGCGCATACTTATAAAAATTGTAAAAGCAAATTCAATTGCTTCTATTGTCATAAAGGACACCACTCAATGGGCTCATATCCCAGTACACCCCAAAGCAGCGCTTATAAGAAAAGAACCACGGATTTATCTGCAAAAGAAAATAGGCATTAAAAACACAAACACTACACAGCGAAATTCAAAGTAGGGTATTACTACCCACAGCAGTCATCTCCATCGAACATCGAGGAGAACTCTACAAACTTAGAGACTTAGATACCAGGGATCACAACGAACTTCATAGCGTCTAAGGCACAAAATGGGCTAAAACTGCCAACAAATCAATCATATTTTGAAATTACGGGAATGGGCGGAAGAGTAGTCCAAAACTCAAACAAAATCTTCCCCATTACACCTCAAGCGGATAAGCGAATTGTAGCAGAAGCTGTCCTACCGCAACTTTGTAACATACTTCCAAGCTATCACATAAATAGCAAGCATTAGCAAAAGGTTTCACACCTAAAGCTAGCAGATCCTAACTGCAACACCCCCGCTCAAATAGATATTATAATAGGCAGCGACCTTATACCGCAAATAATACTTGAAGGTGTTGAAACAATTTCAACCACTCTTCTAGCCCTAATCCTATTGTTGGTTGGATCTTAAGTGGATTAGTTACGGAACGTTACCACCATAATCACTCCAGTTGATGAAAATTCACCTTATTTCACAACTAAGGAAATTTCGGGAGTTAAAAACAGTACCACCCCCCATATCAATTACAACCTCAAAAGATCAGTATTGTGAAGACTTTTACAAAGCCACAATTACTAGATCAAATAATGGCAGGTACGTTATACGACTACCACTAAACTCACAATGTTCCAACACTCCACGAGTTGATAGTCAAAACAAAGTCAGAGTCGCTTCTGACAAGATCAGGTTTAAAAACACAAATATGTAACTTTTCGACCCCGCACGATGGCTCTTGAGTGCTCTTAAATGGCACGCTACTACTTGCCAAATTTGTGCATACGCACTTAACATAACATATAACAAAATTGTCCGAAGAAAGTCGAAAAATCGATACCCCTCTTATTCATAATTATGTACATAACAATTTAAATATACAGTATCGCACCTAGACTTACAACAAGCAAAGGTCGCACTTATCGCAACTATAAAAGCGCTCTTTATATGGGTAGTTTATGGGAAACACTTGTAAAGGTTGCAAATCTCAGTGAGATCCCCCACAGGTCAATATGGATATAACATTATTCCATCACCATGTGACCCCCCGCGCGCTCGATTACTTCAAAAGCAGTATGCCGAAGTACATACATATACCATTTTAGTAAATATGTTTAAAACTAGGCAATATATTCGCCTAGGATGCCCAGGATTTAAGCCTCCCTCTACATGTACACACCCGGTAAAAACTGGCGCACCCTACAAATACACACCCCACCCGAGAACACCACCACACTCAGCAAGATGTCACCAAACGACGACACCCCATACCACCAAGCAACAAAAAGGAGGTCACCACGTTTTTACACTTCAACACGTTTTTACACTTCAATACGAAAGCGATCGATTCAACCGCGCGCGACAATTCGATTCAACCACCAAGAACCAAGTCAACATTTTTCGATGACAACAGCAATCCGGCACTACAAGTATATACCTTTTTGATCGACAACGATACGGCTTCGTTCAATCCGTTTTTCGGCATCGACCTTCGAAATAGACAAATAAATGTTCAAGCTTAGGTGAGAAAATAAGCATTATCTATACTAATATTATATATGCGAAAGTCCGTTTGTTTGTTAAGCTTTCACGCAAAAACTACTTAACAGATCATCATGAAATTTTGTACATATACTCTTAGAGGTGTCAGAATGAACTTAGGATACTTTTTATTACAAAATTTATAAATTTGTTACGAATTATTAAAAAAATTATTTTGGAAGATTATATATGTTTGGAAAATAATTTTGAAATTGAAAAAAAAAAGTTTGGCAGAAATGATTTTTTGTCGAAAAAATTAAAAATGAAAAAAACATAAATGTATAAAAAACGTAAATCAGAGAAATAACACAAATATTATTAGTTACTCTTATTAAATATAAAAATGCCTCGAAAGCGGAAATCGGCG